CTTATTACAAGAACCAAATTTCTTTCTTTTCCTTTTGCTAAAAAATGCTTCCTGTTCTTATCCTCCCTCACCCAATCTGTGTCTCCCCTTTGTAGTTTCTCCTCCCAAAACCCCCCTGAATGCCTTCTCCTTTAATTGTCTTCGTTTTGTCTTTACATGCGTGATTATTGGATACTGAATAATTGATTCGGTAGGTAGAAATCTCAAAATTTTCAATGTTAGGTAATGTGGTGGGATCTAATTTTGACTTTGGTGAGGATTTTGCAGGTGATAACGACGATGGTGGCCTCGGCTTGAACGGTTTGTCGGTGTGCAGCTCGATGTTGGCTCGATGCCTCATCAGTGGCTCGGCTTGAACTAGTATACGACGCGACTGTGTGAAGAATCTGGCGTGGCTGGGAAAGCTGGCGGTGGCTTTGGTTTAGGGATTAGGGTTTTAAAAATCCTAAAACTGCTGGGTTGTCATTTGGGATGCTTGGGTTTGCTTGTTGGGTCACTGGTGTTGGGCCTCTTGGTATTTGTAATTGGGCCTGCAAATATTGTAAAATAATAATAATAATAATAATAATAATCATACTATAGTATATAATAATAAATATAATATATATATTTTAATCCAATCAAAAAATGGGTGTCTACAAGTATTTGTCAGAGTATAATTATATCCAAGTCTACCCGCATTTGCAGCCTTTTTTATCCTTCTAGGATGCATATACCATGAATTTCGTTGCTAGTATTTCCTTAGCTGAATCCTAACATGGAAAATATGGATGTGCAGTTGAATTAGATAACTTTTCAAGTTCGTCAAATGCCAATAAAATTCTATAAATAAAACAAAAGGGGGGAAAGGATTTGTGGAAATATGATTGAACAAAAGAATGGGGTCGGCTTTCTCTAGTGGACATATACATATGAAACTTGGAGCTCTTTTAGAACAATAAGATATTAACTTCCCTCCCTATCCAATTCCAAGAATTGTATGATTGACAAGTCAATTTGGCTCTAGTTTTTCCTACGGTAGCGTGACCTGGTAAACCAGATCATGAAAACAACAAGCCAAGAGGAACATTGAGAAAATAAAACCTTCTTTGACTCTATAATTATTTTTGTTTATCATCATGGTTTAGAAATAGTTAAGCATTTTTTGGGGTCAAACTTGGAACCGATGTCATAGTACTAGTATTCATATATATTCAAATATGATTATGAGGAGTTACGATTTATATTAAACACACACCAAAAAAAATAGATAATGTTAGGGATGGAATTTATTATAGTTTGAGTTTTTTTTCTTAGTAATTTGGAAGTTATCGAACCATTGCAAACCCCTCAACTTTTCTACTTATCACGTCTCTTTCCCAGGTTAATAACTGATAGAAGTCAATAGACAATAATTTAGATGGACACATACAAAGTATTAGAATTTTAGGTAAACTTCATAAGCAACTATCAAGAAAATAGACTTCTTATATAAGCAAACAAATTATAGGAGGAAGAAGCACCCAAGTCAATGCAATGATGCAGTGTTCAGATAAAAAAAAAATTGCCGGCTGTTTATGGTTGTATATCCTCCTTAGTTTTTGACTTGAACTAAAAACAAATGAATCAAATATAAAAATCATACGACCCACCGATGAACTCCTTTTTTTGTCCTTTTGTTTATGTGACTTTATAGTTGATGAAACAAAGTGTTTTTCTAAAGGTAACAAAGATAGTCAGAGTTGATACACAATTGGATGCTGAATGCGTGCACGCCAAGTGCTTAAAAAATGCAGCAATTACCGATTCTGGTTGTGGAAATATGAAATTTTATTATGAAAAAGAAAGAAAGAGTAGAAATATGAATATATAGCTAACTCGTTTTTCTTAAAAAAATATAGTATGGCTAATTGCTTTTACATCACGATCATGACTTGAATTTATATTTTTGATATGAAAATAATTTATATATTGATGGGGGATGTGTCACGTGTTTTTTAATTTATTTTAAATATTAATCAAGGATATAAGTTAATAGATTAAAATCGTTTATGAAGAAAAAAAACTTCATTATTATTAAATTAAATATTAAGCATTATTTTAATAAATTAAAAATAATATGATATGATAAATACACGTTTAACATTATATTAAGTACCATGAATGTTAAAGGTGTTAACGTTCAATGTCAAATGATTAAGAGTTATCTTTGAACATATATTGTCTTGTATTTGTTGCAAAATATTGAAAAATAGTGTTGTAGTATTACAATCTAAAAAAAATTGTTTCAATAATAAAATTAAAAAATGTGAAATTAAAATAGAACCTGTAATCGGATGAAATTGAATATGTAGAAGAAGAGTTTTGTTGAGGCCTGAATGAACAGTTTCCTTAAGACAGATTCGTCCTCTCCTCGGTGCTTTGAGTAACGTTGGACGTCGGTCTCCCAGGATACAACAACACACGTTCACAATAATAAGCACAACCGTAGTGAACAATCTAACACAATCTTTGTCTTTATCTATCACCAGAAAATGACTTTGGAAGAATCGGAGAATTGAGAGGAAAGTGATTGAAAGAAAATGGTAAAAGGTTGTGTTTGAGATGTGTCACAACTAGCCTTTATATAAGGAGAGGGATTTGTGTTGAAATGTTAAGACCTTTAATGAAATGACTTAACCATTTGATTAAAAATGGTAACCTTTTAATCAAAAGGTTATCATGGAAAGACATGACCTTTAGAGTGAAATGAAATAACTATTTTCATGAAAATACTTAATTATTTTTCATGAATAGTCATGATTAAATAAATTAATTCATTCATAATTTTTTCCAACAGTATTTACACCAGATTAATAAAAAAATATTTTTTGGGTAAAAGATATAAAAAGTCACTCAATTTGTTGAGTCTCTAACTATTAAAAGTTACAAAATGATCACCCGACTTTAAAAATAATATTTTAATCTTTTTTCGGTCAAAAAATAACATGAGATGACATGACAGTTAATAAACTTTGTAACGTCCCAAAAATCAATTTAAAAATTCTTCTGACATTCGATGATAAAAAATAGGTTTTGGGGATTTATTTTAATAATCTAAGTTAATGTATATGTTTTCAGTAAAAGGGAATTGCTCGATTAAATTATAATTTGATATGGATTTGAAGTAAGGATAAATTTATAAATATTGAAAATCTAAGGGCTAAAGTGTGAGCGGTGGAAGTATTAGTGCTTAAATGAAAAGAAAGAGAAAATGAAGGGATTTATTGATGAACTTATCCCCTAGCCACCGTTGCATTTGATAAAACTCCATTAAAAGAAAGCTTAGAACCCTAAAGGATTTTTAGGTAGAGAAACCACCAAATTACGTTAAATCATCTCTTTAAATTCTAAATTGAAGTTTTATTTGAGAAGCTCATGCTTAACTTTATCATTTGGTATTGTGTAATTCAATACTAAGTTAAATTTGAGAATACATGGCACACTAGGATTTAGGTATTATTTTATCTTTGATGATGAATATATTTTTAATTATGTGTTTATTTTTAATGCGAGAGAAAAAAGGATTTGCGGAAATCCTAAAATCAAGAGGAAAGCTGAAACTCTGGAATAGTTGGTTGATTCGAGGCAATCTGAAAACTTAGATTAGGCGGGGAAAAGCTTAAATTGAAGCTATATCTATATTTTGGTATGTTTCGATTTTGATTGTGTAGTTCATTTAGAGCATTCAAATGCCAATCCTTCAGTAAGCTATTTTGATATTTCAAATATGTTGTTTTTGTTTCGATTAGTGAATTTATTATGAATTTGAAGTCCGGATTATGATTTGGACTGATTTGAGTTTAGTGTTTATACTGTGGTATAATAAAATGTGTGAAAGCCATGAAAAATTGGTTAAACTCGAACTATACTTTATGATATAATTAGCTTTGTGAAAACCCTGGTAAGTTGGTTATATTTGAAGTATGATTTGTGGTAAAAATTTAAGCCTTAATTCAAGTTGTTTTCGATATCAGTCTGTCTATTTTCCATATTTGTATTAGGTATGCTTGCTGTAAGCTATTGAGGAGTACCTCTTCTAACCAAGCAATTATTTTTTTGAAAATAACTAACCAAGCAAGTAAATGGAGAGATTGTGTTCCTTTATTGGATAAAGTAAATGTGAGAATACACTGATGGGTAGTAAGGTCCAAACGGTAATGCCGGGCGGCGATGTCTTTATGCCGATCGTTTACCTTGTTTTTTTATAATAAAAAAATATTTTTCCTAGTTTGTTCCTATGCTGTTGGTGTTTTCCTGTTCAGATCTGGTCTTCAAAGGATCTGCAGGGTTTTTTGACAGACCTGCCGAGGTTATGCTAAGAAAAGGGATGGTGGTTGTTCCTCCCACTATCACCAGACTTACCCCGACTCTTGGGTGTGTTAAAACCAGTCTATATTTAGTAGGAATAAATTTCTTCAAATCTATTTTATTGTCCGCACAATAGAAAGGCCTGTAGAAAGAGCCAGACTAGACTGGTGATTTCCAACAAAGTTAGCTCAAGGGCGCGATGTAACATTTTCCATCTGCTTATGCTTGTTTTCGCTCTGTCTTTCCACGCTATTCTCTGACAAAGTTGCCATGTAAACTCATCATATGTAGTATTGATGCAACTTACAAATAAATAAGGTTGCTCCTTGATATTGTGAAGGAAAAGAAGGACAATAATCCAATATTCTCAGTTCTAGTTGTTCATACTACGTGCCAACAATCAATTGGCTGAAACATTAAAACGATTCCAATCATAAGCAAAAGTAGTTTGACTTTACATGAATTTACAGCAGCACCAACAACAGCTCTCTCATCTTGCCCGAAAAGAGTTCGGATCCGACCAATTCACTACACGACAAAACAGCATCTCCCGAGTGCCGACAAGTTGCTCCAGTAAACAGTAAAATAAAGTTGCCTAAAATCTCACTTAAACACTAATATTAAAATCAGTTCTATTTTTTTATATATACTTTCTCTCTTCTGAAAAGTAAGCCAGCAATTGCAACCAAAGATGAAATTTGAAGTCTCTCTCTTCCTTGCATTATTTCTTTCTCTAAAACTTTCACACGAAGCTCTGTTTCTTTTTTACTATGCGTTCTTTTTGAAACGTGTAGATATTATAACTTATCTATATCTGATCCTGTTTCTCTGTTGTATTTGTTTATGTGTTCAGCTCTCACCGTTGGATCTTTCAGTTGCTTCATTGGATTTGCTTTCTGGGTATTCATCTTTTTGGGGCTTTGGATTGAAACTTTGATGCTTTCCAGAACTGAAAGAGCTGATTTCAGTGTTTGGGTTTAATCATTGAAGCTTCTCTGGGTAATGTGAATTTGGTCAAAGGCTTAGCATGGGGAGCTGGTAGTTGGATTAAAGATTAAACATATAAAAGAGAAAAAAAGCAGATTGACTGGTAGATAATCCTGACTGACTTGAAAAACAACTTTTTTTTTGTCTTGTAATTTGATTTTTTATATAAGAAAACTCCCTTTTTTAAGCCATGCCGGTCGACGTATACAATTCTTCCACCGTCTCCGGCGACGCTAGCGTCTCTTCCTCTGGTAACCAAAACCCACCTCCCAAATTCACCGTCAAGAAGAAACGTAGCCTCCCTGGAATGCCAGGTATTGTAATATGTAAATAATTAAATATCCAATCATCAGTCTTTTTCTCCCTTCTGTTTTATTTTTCTATTTTGTTATCAATTTCATTTGTTGTTTTGAGCTGTTACAGATCCAGATGCAGAGGTGATTGCTTTATCTCCAAAGACTCTCATGGCCACGAACCGATTCGTTTGTGAAATTTGCAACAAAGGGTTTCAAAGGGACCAGAATCTTCAGCTTCATAGAAGAGGTCATAATTTACCATGGAAGATTAGGCAGAGATCCAGTAAGGAGGTGAAGAAGAGAGTTTATGTTTGTCCCGAGCCAACTTGTGTCCATCACGATCCTTCGAGAGCTTTAGGCGATCTTACGGGAATTAAGAAACATTTCTGCAGAAAACATGGAGAAAAAAAGTGGAAATGCGATAAATGTTCTAAGAAATACGCTGTTCAATCCGATTGGAAAGCTCACTCTAAGATTTGTGGTACTCGAGAGTACAAATGTGATTGTGGAACCCTGTTTTCCAGGTGCTCAAAAACTATCTAAAGATTCGATTTTTTTGGGGAAAAATTGATTTCCCCCCTGGGATTGATTGTTAATTTCGTTTTGGTCTTTTTTTGCAGGAGAGATAGTTTCATCACGCACAGAGCTTTTTGTGATACGTTAGCTGAGGAGAGTGCTAAAGTTCAAACGGACCCCAGTTCAGAACCCGACCCGAAAGTCATGGCTGTGGAGTCATCACCACCACCGGCCCTTCAGCCTACACCGCCACCAGTGTCGGCTCCAGCGCCATTAGAAGTACAGGTTTCAGCATCAGCTCTGCCTCAGTCAACAAGTGCAATGACTTCTTCAGTTATGCCAATTCAAAGTTCTGGTAAACACATAATTAGGAAACTTTCGTATCTTGTTAGCTTCAAATTTGCCCTTTGTGATTTTGTTTGGAATTAACAACAGAGAATTTTATTTTGTTGTTATTATGTCTTTGTATAAATATTGGAGCGTAGTAGTTTTTGTCTGTTACTGGTCTTTGTTGTTAGAGGGAGGGAAAATGAACTCATTTTCTAAATCGTAAGAATCGATTTGTGCAAATTCAAAAGCCAAAATAAAAGAAAAATGGATTTGTAGAAGGTAAACCATTACCGATTCATGTTTTAGACTTTTAAATCAGGATCCCTTATGGTTGTATTTGCCTTCTATCTTGTAATAGAGTTGGCCGAAGATCCGAGTTCTGTCGTGGAAGAAGCTCCGCCTCCGGCTGGCTTAAATGGAAGTTGTAGCGGTGGCGTCAGCTCAGTTAGCAATGGTAGTAGCAGCAGCAGCAGCAGTGTATTTGTAAGCTTATTTGCATCCTCTACTGCATCTGTGAGCTTACAACCTCCGGCTTTCACCAGCTTAATTCGAGCAATGGGTCCACCTGATTGTCCTGCTGACCTTGCTCCATCTACATCCATTGAACCAATTTCTCTCTGCCTCTCAACCAGCCATGGCTCATCGACATTCGGAAATGCAGGGCAAGAACGCCAGCAGTATGTACCGCCCCAACAACCTGCTATGTCGGCCACGGCATTACTGCAGAAAGCTGCTCAGATGGGAGCAGCAGCAAGTAATGCATCCTTGCTTCGTGGTCTCGGTGTGGTTTCATCATCTTCATCAGCACCGCGGGAAAATTTGCAATGGGGTCAGAGACAAGTAGAGCCCAACAATGCCTCAGTTGCAGCAGGGCTTGGATTCGGGATTCCTTGTGATGGAAGTTCGGGATTAAAGGAATTGATGATGGGAACCCCTGTATTCGGTCCAAAGCAAACTACACTTGATTTTCTTGGATTAGGGGTGGCCGCCAGTGGCAGCCCCAATGGTGGCCTGTCTGCTCTAATTACCTCTATTGGAAGTGGACTTGACGTGGCTGCAGCGACAGCATCGTCTGGAGGCGGAGATTTCAAGGACATCAAGGAGATCATGACTTGGGAAACTATAAATTGCACAGGCTACAGTGTTGCAGAAGAACACAATGGTGATATATAATCTTAGATATAGAATTGCCGTGGTGGAGGTTAGCATCAAGCCATATCAAAGAGGCGGTTGGGGGTCCTTTTTTATTCTACAGCCTCTACGGAAACGACTTCCTTGTAATATAAGGTAAAATTCAAGAACCAGATGTAATAGGATGCTGGATGTATAAAAGCTCGTTCTAGCTAGAAAAATTTGGAAAATAACATCTCTGTAAAGGGACTTGGGGGTAAATGGAGACATTAGGACATGTCTGTGTCTGTTTTATCAAGCTTGGGGGGAACTTCAGCAAAACAGCAGGCAAGAATGGAGTGGCAAAATAGCTGTAAATGGAATGATTTTGGATGATTCTGATCTGGTTATTTGGCGTGGATTAAGGTTCCACTTGTAATTGTATTAGTTATATCTGCAATTAATTTAAATTTGTTTGTTTAATTTCTTTTCCATAGACGGAAACCTTATCACTTGACTTCATCAATGGAAGAAAAGAAAACTTTGGAAATGGGATTGCTTGCGAGAATGAACTCAAATGATCAAAATGTATATAATATGAATTGTTTTATATTAAGATAGAAGACAAAGACAACAGTAAGTGTGCCATTGGAGTGTATTTTTTTCATGTAGAAATATTGGGGACCCCCTAACTTCATGAAAATGTAATCTCAATGATCCTTTCTAGCTAGGACATTAAATGCCAAGTCCCCTTGCTTCTATTGTCCTAAGGCCCCAATCTGATTTTGCATTTAAGAAATTTAAACTTTGAAGCCTTTTTAAAGGTGATCGCTTTGATGTTATATGGTGTGTTAATAATAGCAAGAGAGGGGGAAAAAGGTAAAGTCGTGGTGGATAAAGGGACATTGATACTTGCCTTTTTTGCATTGGTTAGACAACATTAATGTGGAGTTGTGGAGTGATCGACTAAGCAAGGGCCCCATTCCTTTTAATTAGTGGCATCTTTCTCGGTATCATTTTCGTTTATGCTATATATATAGACGTGTCTTGGAGGATCGTCTTGGTTCCTGCCAATAACTGCTGCGGAGACTATGGTAAATATCTTGAAATTTAGTTGTTAATTTCATTTAATTTTGTGCAGATGTACAAGTAGCTTCTCAGAGACCTCATCAATGGGGGGTTTTTAACATGGAACACGTTTTCCACTGTTGTTGAAACGGGCCACCAAACCCTTCCTCAACACTTGATATCAGATGCTGCTGATCATCCAGGCCGGTTCTGCAGTGTATTGATAATTTATTTTCTCTTAACCTTCATTACTTCCAATTAACCACTCACCTTAAATTGCTTCCAACCCTATATATATGACCCCATAAATTACCTGGGTATGATTAATGACATACGGGAGAAAATAAGAGTAAAACCTTAGCAACTAAGTTCTCAAGATCACATTCTACATTGGGTCAAAAATTGATATTACCTTCCAACCAAATTATCATTCACTTCCATCATCACTTCAGCAACCAACAAACAGATTCTTAAAAATTGGAGACTTAGTTTACAAAGCTTAATAAGAAGAGATCTCTCTTGAGACGAGTTTTAACATATCTCGAAATTAGATCAATTGAACAACAAAAAATTGATAATCGAATAAAGTATATTTTCATTTCTTTTTGTAGATTTAAGAAAATTTAAAGGATTTAAAGGAGATTGAACTTACATTTGTTGATTGACGAAATTAAAATCTAATTAATGATATGATTAGTTTAGAGAGAGAATACTAAGCTCATCTTTTCTCTTCTCATATTTTATCTAAAAATATTTATTTTTTCTATTTATTTTCCTTTCACCACTTTCAATCTCTCTCTCTATCACAAGTTTTAATTCCACTGCTGACGCTTTTTACCTTGCTTTATCCTTTTTCTTTGTAATGTTAGCTCTGCATCATATTTCCCATTGATCTATGGGTTCGGTCGGAAAGCTTTTATTTATTTTATGACTTCAAATTTGTATGTTACGCTTTAAATTACTCATGCAAAAACTAGATTTCAAATATTTGTATGTTATTAAAAATTCTATAAAAGCATAATTCCAAAAAATAGATGACCGAGTTCTGCTTAAAATTACAAATAATATTTAATTAAATTTAAACTTTAAATTTATAATCAACTCAACTCGATTATATCCTATTTAGATCTGTTCACGTTATTAATTTCTCCCTCTATTTTCTATTTAGTGTAGCAAACACATTAAGAAGAAAATAAAAAACTAAACAAAAGAAAGTTCATTATGGAATAAAAATCTTTACAATCCTTAGGCTAGGCATGGCCACAAGCACAAGATAAGAGTGTAGTGGGCCATACCACATTATCTCCTCACCCGAAGCACTGGTCGCTCGGAAGAGGTCCTGGAATGGATCCGTTCTGCAAGAACTGCAACCCGAAAACAACCAAAATGGCTAGCAAAGACAGGAAAGATAATCCTTCAACGGCTCCCAACAACCCGAAAGGCCCATTTGGTAGACCCGAACCGGTCTTGGCTTTCGTGTACAAAGACCAACCCACAATCCCAACAACAGCCAGGTAACTAACACCTTCCAGTGCACCTATCAAGCCAGCCGGTCCGGGGGGCAAACCACACCCAGTTGTCTTGAGCGTGTACAGGGACCAAGCAATGACTGGATTGGCAACCAGGCCACCGGCTATTGCTGCTTTCTCTGCAACTCCATTGCCGCTTTCACTGGTCTCCTTTGCCATGGCTAGCACTTTCAATGGAGGCTGCACCTTTGGTCTTGTGTATGTGAGAATGGAACTATGGGGTTTTAGTGAAGATAGGGAGGTTGAAGGTGGTGATAGTAGCAACATCTTGGCTGCATCCATGGCCAGAGAGAGAGAGTTGTATTGATAAGGCGGTGCTGGTGATTTTACTAGTATTTTAGACCTTATCTATCTTAGCAAAACGGACCAGGTGGGGATTAGTTCATCACTAAAGAAATAAGCAATTCACTCTATTTACGACTTATCCTCCTCATTTTAATTTTGTATATTTCAAATAATATGACATAGAAATCAAGATCACGTTACATTTCTATTTAAGAATAATGATAAAATTAGTATTTAACTTTTGATCAAATATTTTTTAATTTCTATTATTTTGTTTTGAAATATTTTATCTTTAATATTTTATTTTAGGACAAAATACATATTGGTTGGATCAACGTAACGCATCATACTAACTAAACAAATCCACATAGACCATAATATTGATATGATATGTCCACATATGATATTACATCAACAAACAAAATATTTTTAAATCAATTAATTATTAATGATTATTTATATATAATTAATGACAACCAATCCTATAATGACATATGTCAAACATTGGTCTAGTAGATAAATAGTTTAATGCCTAACCATCAACCCAACTTACTTATTTGTTATAATTTGATCAACAAAAACATTTAAGTAAAATTACATATTATTATTTTGTTCATATATTCCAATTTTATTTGTTTAGAATAGAGGGGACAAAATCAAGAGGGTGGGTCATGTTTTTCTTGTATGTGGTTTGGATGAGGTCCATTTTGGGCTTAATCAATTTTGATACAGAGCATTAAAATGAGCTTAATCATTAATGGGTCTTTTGGGGCCTAAAGAAGCTATTAATGGGTTTCAAGTTTCAAAGATTCCCAGTCAAAATTTCATATGCTATGAAAAGAAAAAGACAATTTCAAGATAGAATAATCGAATCATTTTTATACAACAGTAGATTACAGATGTACGTATCCTCCCAGAGGCGTATCATACGTGAAAGGATAAAAAATGTTGGTTATGCTGTTTCTTTTTTGTTTTTTCCCTTTGGTTTGTGGTGATGTTTAATCTTAATTTTAGACTTGTATTTTAAACCTTATCCCATATGTCCATTTTATCCTCAAATTTACACCGACCCTCTTGATTTGGTCCCCCTCTTCAGATTCCTCGATTTAAGGTTTTTAATCTTGAAAAAGGGTAAAGAAAAAGAGCTTTCGATATGGTCACCCGCATGCATATCACACGCACATTTAAATTGAAGTAATAATTCAAGCTTGAAAGTTGAAACCTTAAAAGGTCCATCATTGAAAGCTCAAATCGATATTGTGAGGGGTTATTTCAGTCATTTTCACAATGGATTAATTACATCATATGTTTTTAAATTATTTCATTATTTTTAAATTGAACTTTTATAATATTAATATTATATTAATCAAATATTTTTATCAATATAGTTATTTAGATATTAAATACAAATTCATAGAGATTAAATTAAAAAAATTTAACAATAATTTAGATCCTTATAAGTTTAAATATTAAATAAATTAATTCTTACTTTTAATTTTTTAATTTGAATATTTTCAAAAAATGATTTTGTTTAGTCGGCAGCGGCATCGATTTTGATATTGGTTGCAGACTATTGATTCTCTTCTCTCTTTATTTCTTTTTTAGTTTTTTTATAAGAATACTTTTATTTTTGTGATACATTTATCTTTGCCTTTATAACACGTTTCTCTCTGTCTTTGTGGCACATTTTTCATTCGTTTGGTTGTTATTTTTTATTTTATACTTTCTCAGGGTTGGATTTGACGACATCATGACTAATCAAGATGACTATTATTTGTAATCTATTTGATCTTCCCTGCTATGGACTCTCAGACTGAATTTGGATACGCGATTTTATGATCGTTGATAGTTTCTCACGACGCTCAGCTTTGATTTATGGTTCTCAATAGTCTTTCAATATTTTAATCCCTTCTTGTTGTTCGTTTGTTGATACAATTAGATTTGTTTGTATCTATTTTTTGTTTAAGTATTTTGATTGAGTTTTTAACATTTTCCATGTATGTTCTTGTATGATCTAAAGTGACTAGTCTTAATATTTTAAGAAAATGTCCAAATTATGTATTTAATTTCCGACAATAGTTATAAACTCTTATTGTAATATTAAATATTCATTTTTTTTTAATAAAACTAGCGTCATTTTTCTAAAAAAAAACTCAACAAATTAATCTCTCTTTAGATCATTAAAATAATAAACTATGAGTAAAAATAATGTGCACTTTGAAGATTAGATAAAAAAATTTAAACTGCAATTTAAGGATATATGGTGCAGTTAAACCAAAAACTATCACGTCTTACCCTTGTAATAAGTGAAATTATCCCCATAGAGAGAGAGACAGAAGAAGAAGAAGAAGCCAATTCGAATCGGATCCGGGGAATCTTTGGCCCTCAATCCAAAAAGACTCAAAGTTTTCGGATCTTTTTCCTTTTTTTCTCTTTCTCTCCGG